GTTGGGGAGATTATTCTAGATGTGGGTCTTGAATGCCTTCACCAGTGTCATCAGAGTGAGGCAGCGCGGGAGATCTCACACAGAGGCGGCCACGTGAAGGTGGAAGAGAGATCAGGGTGAGATGGGCACCAACCAAGGTGTGGCAGCAGCCACCAGAAGCTACAAGAGGCAGGGAATGGATTCTCCCCTGGGGCCTCCGGGGGGAGGGCGGCCCCACCCACATCTTGGTTTTGACCCAGGGAAACTGATTTTGGACTTCTTACCTCTATAATTTGCGAGAAAACGAAGGTGGTACTTTAAGCCACCCAGCATGTGGTTACTTGTTACAGCAGCCACAGGAACTTCATGCAGATTCCTGGGCACATTTAAGTCCATTCCCCCTTAGTCCTTCATCTGGGGCATGATGGGACATCGTCATGCCATCTGCTGACCCAATACGTTATACCAAGCCTTTCAGTGTACTCAGAAGTCCGCCAAGTTGCCCGGGCGGGTCTCGAGCCCATGGGTTCTCTGACCCAATTTTACTTGGCAGGATCTTCTGGAGACAATATGGGATTAAAACAAGTTAATAATTATAAAGCCCTTAAGGTAGTGCCGGGCACAGAGTTAACAGTATAGATAAATACTTGTTAAATAGGAAAAAAGAGAATCCCACTTGGGGTGCCAAGTTTCTTTCTTTTGTGAGAGCCTGCTGGCTCTTCAGTCTTGAGTTAAAAACTCTTCAGAACGTTCCCAGTTTTATAGTTAAAGGTAATGGTTAGATGTGTTAGATTTTAGAAAGTTACATTACAACTTTCAAGGTTCACAGACGTTCCACTGGGAGAGAATGCAGGAAAATGTTCATTTCCTTTCGCAGCTGCTTCTCTTGGAGACAAAGGACTAATATTTAATTCTGGTTCTGGTCATTTAAGTTCTCTATGGCTTAAAACCCTTCTGTTGGTACCTGCATAACGAACATTTGTATACCTAACTTTGAATTGTATCCCACATATTCAAACCAAAAAAATAAAAATAAATAAAATTCTTCTGTTTTCTATTCCCTGCATTTGAAGATAATTTGTAAATCATCCTCTTGATCAATAAAGGTAGGACCTTAGGGATAGCCCACTGTTAGACTACGAATGAAGATTAAGATAGACCCAGGAACCCTCTATCAGGCTACAAGTGGAGACCGACACAGACACAATTCCATCACCGCCTACATGCGTGACCTTGAGCAAATCCCTTAACCATTCTGTGATTTTTAAAAACGTCTTTAACTTTTCTATTGCTTTGTCTTGTTGTAAATATCTAAAAATACTCATTCTTTGGCTCCTCTACACACCATGATGTTTTCTTCCCAGTTTGGCTCAAAGGGCTTCAGACATTTTGGTAGAAAATCTTTTAACAAAAGACCATGTGTCTATTTTCTGTGTGACTTATTAGTCTGTATTGCACTCTCATAAATTGAATCTTTCTCCTCTGGTTTTTGGATGATTTGAAAATTCAAGTGCTCTCAGCCTGTGATAACCAGCATTTTGGGAGGCTGAGGCATGGGGATTGCCTGATCCCGGGGGTTCGAGACTAGCCTGAGCAACTTGGTAAGAGCTCGTCTACAATAATCACAAAAACTAGCCAGGCGTGATGGCATGCGTCTGTAGTTCCAGCCACTTGGAAGGCTGAGGCGGAAGGATTGCCTAAGCCCAGAAGGTCGAGGATGCGGTGGCCGTGAGCACGCCACTGCACTCCAGCTTGGGCAACAGCCAGCAGCAATGTCACCATAGTGTGAAGACAATTGATCTATAATTGTGATTATGGGACAGGTATTCCAGGATAGCTGGAGAATACATGGTTTTCAATGAAAGTAGGGTACCCCAAAGTGATTTTTTTTATATCCTCAAGTGGATTTTTATATCAATACTTTTTTGTTAAGCAACATCTCAATTTTGGAGGGAGGGTGATTGGAAAAATATAGACATCATTCTAAGGCACCAAACACCACTGTCACCTTATCACTTCCCATCATAACAAATGGGCCACTTTGCCTAGTCTCAGGAATCATATTTAAAACAAACTTTAGAGCTACATGCGGTGGCTCACACCTGTAATCCCAGCACTTTGGGAGACGAAGGCAAGAGGATTGCCTGAGCCCAGTGGTTCGAGACCAGCCTGAGCAACTTGGTAAGACCTCGTCTCTACAATAAATCAAAAAATTAGTCAGGCATGGTGGTGTGCGCCTATGCTTCCGGCTACTTGGAAGGTTGAGGTGGAAGGATCACCTGAGCCCAGCAGGTTGGGGCTGCAGTGGCCATGAAGCATGCCACTGCACTCCAGCCTGGGTGACAGAGTGAGACTCCTACTCAAAAGTAAATAAAACTTTAAAAGGACATCAAGGCAAAATTAACGGTAAAATCTAGGTGGTAGATACATGTGATTCCATGGTACTAGTCTTTCAATTTTTCTGTATCTTTGAGATTTTTCATTAAAAAATATGGAAAAGCCATGCTCGGTGGCTCAGCCTGTAATCCCAGCGCTTCGGGAGGGTGAGGTGAGTGGATTGCCTGAGCCCACGGGTTCGAGACCCGCCTGGGGAACTGGGCGAGACCTCATCTCTACAATAAATCAAAAAATCTGCCGGGCGTGGTAGCGCATGCCTGTAATTCCGGCTACTGGGAAGGCAGAGGCGGAAGGATCGCCAGAGCCCAGCAGGTCGAGGCTGCGGTGGCCGGGAGCGGCCACTGCACTCTAGTCTGGGTGACAGAGTGAGACTCCAACTCAAAAAAAAAAAAAAAAAAAAAAAAAGAAAAAAAAAAAAAAAATATATATATATATATAGCAAAAAATGTATGGCCACTAAGCTAAGAGTGTAGCGATGAAATGAACCCTCCAGACTTGAGTGTGGCGAGGGGAGAATGAGTTAGTCTCTTACAGTCTACCAGTTGGCCACCTGAAGGCAGCCCCTCTACCTTCTTTCTTTGTCACTCCAGTGCTGAATAAATATGTTGAATGGAGTCTTAAGATTAGAGATGATGGTGAGCCGGGCTCGATGGCTCAGCCTGTCATCCCGCGCCTTTGGGAGGCTGAGGTGAGTGGATTGCCTGAGCCCGCGGGTTTGAGACCCGCCAGGGCAGCGAGACCTCACCTCTCCAATAAATCAAAAAGTTAGCCGGGCGTGGTAGCGCGCGCCTGTAATTCCAGCTACTCGGAAGGCTGAGGCAGAAGGATCGCCGGGGCCCAGCGGGTCGAGGCTGCGGTGGCCGGGAGCGGCCACTGCACTCCAGTCTGGGCAACAGAGTGAGACTCCAGCTCAAAAAAAAGATTAGAGATGATGAGGTGGGTCTCCTTTGCACCTCGTGGTCTAGGCCAGTCCTCCAGCACCCATTCCACAGTCCTTAGTTGGCTACTACGCACAGACACCTCATCCAAGGAGAGAGGTTCTAATGCTTTGCTTTAAAGCTGAGCAAATACCTTCTTGGTGATCAAGAAAGATGAATGTATTGAGTATGAATTTATAAATGGGTGATGCATTTATCTTCATTTATCTGAGTTAACAGATCAGAGATTTGCAAAGCTGTGATCAACATGTTACATTTTTTGCCTTTTTTCCCGGCACTTGTTTTTAATTGACCTTTTTGTTTTGGTTGTGTCTGAACCCTGTTCTCCCTTTTCCCATAACAGTTAGAGGCTCCATCTGGTGGTGGTCAACAGTCCTTTCTGTTCTGAGATGCTACCCCAATTATTATTTTTGAGTTGGAGTCTCACTCTGTGGTCCAGGCTGGGGTGCAGTGGCTCACCCACAGCCACCTCAGCGTCTACCCGCTGGGCTCAGGCGATCCTTCCACCTCAGCCTCCCAAGTAGCCGGAACTACAGGCGTGCTCTACCATGCCCGACTCATTTTTGTAGAGATGAGGTCTCATCAAGTTGCCCAAGCTGTTCTTGAACCGTGGGCTCAGGAAATCCCCTCACCTTGGCCTCCCAAAGTGCTGGGATGACAGGCTTGAGCCACTGCTCCCGGCCTCAATGACTTTTTTAAACTTTGGCTTCTTTAACTACCTGTATTGGTTTCCCTGTCCTTGGGGGGTACATCACAACTCGCGAGGCCCTTCCTAGCGAGCCTTTACGAGACTTTCTGGGGTCGTTTTAAAATCCCCATTGCCCAGCCTCCCCGCCCCCCGTCTGTGTGTCTTCAGTCCCTGTGTACCCGCCTTACGGATTTTCTGCCCTCTAGGACTCAGCACGCATGCTTGTTCTCCCTACCAGGAATACTGGGAAGGCCCGTTTCTTCCCCCTTCCTCCAGGAAGGCCTCCCCAACCTCTAAGGTTGCGACGGGTATTCTTACTCTCGGGTCATCTCACTCTGTTTCCCTAGTGCTTTATCCCCACCTCTTTACAGCACTACCACACTGCGCGGGATTCTCTACTCCTACTTCTGAATCCATCACTACCTGGTGAGTTTCAAAAGGGCTGTGTCTTATTCACCTTGTGTCTAACTCACATATAGCAGGTGCTCAGTAATTATCTGTGGAATGAATAAGGAAAGAATGACTCAAAGAACAAATGAATGAAACAGAGGGAAGGGGAAGGGGAGAGGTGCTGCTTGTCTCTTTTTTAAATAACAGCTTCATGGAGCTGCAAGTCAGCCCTGTAAAGTATACAACCCAGTGGCTTTTAGCATCTTGCTTATTTTATTTTATCATAGCTTCAGGGGCACACGCACAGGTGTGTGACGTGGGTGTGCCGCATGAGGGCCAAGTCTGGCCTTCTGGCGAACTCCTGCCCCAACAGTGAACACAGTGCCGGGTAGGGCCTTTTTCAACCCCTGCTTCCTTCCCTCTGCCTCCCCTCCCGCTTCTGAAGTCCACAGTGCCTTCTGTTTCCATCTTGAAGTCCACTGGGTACTCACTGTTTAGTTAGCACTCATGGGTGAGAACATGTGGTATTTGAGTATCTTGCTTATTTCTGCATCAGTCCATTTGAGAGAATAACTTAATTACTGAAATAAAAATGTACAAAAACTCAGTTTATTCTGAAATACTTTATTAAGAAAAAAGTGTTTCCGCTGTTTTAAGAGGACACAAAAATGTAAGCCAGTAACAACATTTTAAATTCAAAACATACAGACACGTCAAAGGAATGAAGCCTGGATCTTTTATTACATGTGAATTATGCGTCCTTACCTGCAGCTGTCTATAACACATATATCTTCACCCACTGCACACACAGTCCCCGTGGAAACACTCCTTGTCTGCGTGAGTGCTTCTTTGTGTGTCTGTATCTGTGGAAGTGGCTGTTTTGTGGGTAGTGGGGTAGGCGTCCACAGCTACCATCATGGCTGTCTTTGCTCAAGGAGGGTTTCCAAAGCTTTGTTTCATTTTACTCATCAGAATGAGGAGCTCGGCTTATCTCTCAGGTCTTGTTTTTCAGATATAGCTAATGATGCCACAGATAGTAGAGCAGAATAAAACTGTGGATCACAAAGCAAGTATTGAGAATGGCCCATTCTGCTGAAAACCAGACAGACAGACACTGGGGCAGGCCCTGGGTCAGGGTGATACAGAGGAATCCCAGGCACGTCTCTCCCAAACGTTTAACCAGGCTTGGGGAGTGAGGCACAAACACGTGAAATTTTCACGTAAGACACAGACAAGGACAAAACGTGAGATAACACAAGACAGAACAATGGTTTTCAAGTGGTTAAAGAAAGGTGACCTTATCTTCTAACTATAAATTGTAACAGAGTCTGGCAAGTGGCAGGAAGCACTTCCACAGGCAGGGGGCAAAAGATCTGACCTGGGCCAGTCCTGGAAGTGCTTGGGCATAGAACTTGTGCGCACTAGGAGGTCAGCGTGACAGACTCAAGTTTTGAAAAGTCTTCATTCCACGGAGAAGCAAGAGGACCATATCTGGTTAAGTGGAGAAGAAAGCACCCAGGACCAGGGGAGAGCATAAGGCCAGCTTGGGGAAGAGAAGACCTGCGGTGGAGAATGTGAGTAGGAACAAGCCTGGGGAGAAGAATTAGGACCAAAGTACACAGGGCACCCTGCCACTTACAGAAAACGACAGCTCTTCCTCAGGAAGAGGCAAGAAACTCCTGTGCCGGTGAGAAGAACTGACTAAAAAGTCCGGCGGCCCCAGGAGGGGGGCTTTGTGGAGATCTGCGCGCACCTGTGTGGGCTGAAGGCCAGCTGGGAGGTCGTGATTACCCTCAGGCAGGAAAGGAAGGTGGAGCTGTGGCCAGGGTGAAAAGAGACGAGGAGCATGCCAGGAGGAAAACGGTCAGGACAGGACTCTGCCTCCCGGGAGAGTGTGGCTGGCGCGGAGTTCCAGGCCTGCTGATGCTGCAGTGGGGGCAGGGCTGCCCTGGGGGAGGCGGCGGGGAGGGCGGGTGACCAGCAGAAGGGAGAGCCCCGGGAAGAGGCCTTCAGGCAGAGTCCAGGCCCGGGCAGGGAAGCCAGTGAGGAAGGAAGATCCCACGGGAAGGGGACCTGGGCCAAGAGGAGCCCGGAGTGAGCAGTTCCCGGGCAGAGCTCAGGGAGGAGGAGGACGCGGAAGAGGAGCTGACCACGGGCTTCCCTGTGAAGTCTGGGAGTGCAGACGCAGGAGACTCTGGGAGAAAGTGGACTTTGCTGAGAAGGCGTCGTGAAGAAACGGGGAAGCAGGCATGGCCCCAACGTGCTGGAATGAACAGCTCCAGTCCACAGGCAGAGGGAAAGAGCCACCGCGGAAAAGAGAGGGAGAGTGAGCCAGCAACATCTCTGCGACCAGAGAGGAGGAGTGAGCTGGCGTGGAGGATGCCCATTAAGACCAGTGGAGCAGGTTCAGAGCCGCCACCTGCAAGGAGGATGACTCCGTGCAGAGGGAGTGGCCAAATGCACAGCCTCAGCTTTCCCGCAGTGGCCGGACCCAGCCTGCTTCCCTCACTGTTGGGCTCTCCTCACCCTCCAGCCCAGCCCCCAAGAGTGTGCCCATGGTCCTGCCTCCTGACACAGCGGCTGTGATCTACAAGGCTGGCTATGGATGGAGGGAGGGAACACCCCTGGGGCAGAAGCTCCCCAAGAGGAAGCCGAGCACAGCACAAGACAGGAAGGAGAGCAGGGGAGCACTCAGAAGACCAAAGAAGGCCTGCCACGAAGAAAGCAGCTTAGGAATTCTCAGCCAGGCAAGAGCACGCGAGGGGGAGCAGAGGACGGGGAAGATGCCAGAAGGCCAGAAGGCCAGGCAAGGCCCTCTACAGAGGGTCACTGGAGGCCACTACAAAAGCAGAGGAGCATGCAGGCCCACTCAGGCTCTGTACACCCAGAGGTGGCTGCTCCAGAAACACAAGGCTCCATGGAGACAGATGCGAGATCCCCAGACAGCCTTAGCGAAGCGTGTGTGATGGCAGGCAAGAGGCTGACAGCTCCAGGGACGAACGGAGAACAGCTCAGTGCTGCCTACACATCCCACGTGTGGTGAAGAAACAGCCAGGCGGGTCAGAAGGAGAGGAAAGTCAGAGGCCAAGGGACCAGAGGTGCGAAAGGCCACAAAGGCAGGAATGGGCGGTGGGAGGGAAAGCGGAAGACGGCCGGGAAGGGTGAGAAAGCGTTTCAGAGTCAGATCCGAGTACAACGGATGGGAGTGGAGGTGTTAGGGAAATTATAAGGTAGGTGCCTGGAAGCAACAAAGACGTGGGTGCTGATGTCCCTGAGGATGACAAAAGGAACTAAATGGAAGACCCCTGGGAGCCAAGTACTAAAGTCCTCAAGGAAAATGGGGCGACCCAGAAGCAATCAGATACTAGGGAATGGGTTACATAAGTGTCTCTTCTCATTTTACAATGACATCTAATCCACGAAGGTTACGTATCTGGATGCATGAGCCCTGCAGATGCTTTCAGTACCTCTTCAGAAGTCCTGGGATTTATGAATGGCACAGTTACTTCCAGTGCCCCACTCCATCCTCTGGAAGAAGTAGACCGCGGTGCTTTCTAGGAGCGAGCCGCTCAAGATGGCCAACAAGGAGAGCTTTCGGTTGATGTTTAGGGTCACTGGAAAAGAGAAGACAGGCAACAGGTTACTGAACTCAAATTAAGTGATGTTGGCATATAAATTATGTGGTGGTGTGGATTGTTTGGTAAAGCTGTTTTCAGAAAAACTGTATTTGTTTTATTAATCTATGCTGCTACCTTCTCCCACTTTTCCATCTGTAAATCTTTTGAGAGAACAAAAGCCTCTGCTGATAACAAAACACTGAGTTCCTCCTCTGCAAACCAGGGGCAGACTCTGTTCCATGTTTATTAAAGGAAAAATAATAAAAAAAGGATACTCCCAGGGTCACAGTTTGCAAGATGACAAATATTCTGATAAAAGCACCAGGTAATAGGCTCACTTAAAACAGCACTTCTCACACTACATATCCCTTTCGTGGTATAGCAGGAATTCTCCTGGACCTGGCATTCTCTCCTGGCCATGTCACTTTGGACAAGTCACTTAATCCTCAGAGCCCCATGAGTGCATTCATAAAATAGACGTAATGATGGATGCCCTACTAATCTCCCAGGACAGAGACAATGCATATGCAAGCATTTTGAAAACTGTAAATTACCCTGTGGTTAAATGTAACAATTACTGAGTACCTGCTGTGTAAAAGGCACTATTCAAAGTATTAGGTATTGTTATTATGCTATGAAAAATTCCAGTGTTCGATAGGTTATATGCAAACTGCTCTAGAAACAAGGCTTTAAGCTTTTTTATGGGTTGAAGGCTGAGAAGATAGAATAAAATCAGAAACATACCTCTAGTTGCCTGAAAATTCGATGTAAGGACAAATATTTTAATGAGTTTGAGGCACAGAGGGGTGTAATCGTGTTCCCAGATGACAGCTGGAATCAGCAGCAGTTTTCCATAGCTAGATAACAATAATGCTTTCAACAGCAAATTGAAGTTGAGCCTTTTTTTCGTCGTCATGGGCCGTTCTACCCCCAGAAAAGTAAAAATGCCAACAAAAAAGGCAGCTTGTTCTAAGGAGAAAATGAAAATAAAAATATGAATGTCCCCATCCAAAAACACAGCTCCTTAAAAGTAAGCCAAAATTCCAAAATGCAACTTATCAGCTGACTTAACAAGAAAGGCTTTATCAAGATCAAACATTTTTTCTTCTTTTTAAATCCTTGGCTTTTGTGTCAGATCCTGTGGGTATGATTTTAGAAACATATTTCAACAGTTCTTTCATGGGGTATTTCATCATCCACTGAAGGAAAAGTAACTCTATTAGAACTGTGATAATCAACTTTCTTTTCTGGAGACAGGGTCTTGCTCTGTCGCAGGCTGGAGTGCTACAATCATAGCTCACCGCAACCTCAAACTCCTGGGCTTAAGCCATCCTCCCGCCTCGGCCTCCAGAGTAGCTGAGACTACAGGCATACCACCACACCCAGCTAATTTTTAAAATTTTTGTAGAAACAGGGTTTTGCTATGTTGCTTAGGCTGGCCTTAAACTCCTGGCCTCAAGTGATCCTCCCACCTCAGCCTCCCAACGTTCGGGGACTACAGGTGTGTGTGCCACCAAGCCTAGCTAATTTTTCTAATTTTTGTAGAGACTGAGACTTGCTATGCTGCCTACAGTGGTTTCAAACTCCTGGCCTCAAGTGACCTCCCCTCGTCGGTCTCCAAAAGTGCTGGGCTTATAGGTGTGAGAGCCACGGTGCCCAGTCATAATCATCAATTTTCTAAAGTTCTTTCCAGGAAGTAGATTCTGCTTAACCATTTTCTTTGTAAAGTAAGAGATCTCCAAAGATATAATAAAACAGGAGAGTGGAGGCTTTGAAGTCTGAAAGATAGGACCCATCCTACAAATGAAGTAACACAGGAAGACATTTTTATTTGCGTATCTTCCACTGTGCCTATTATCTATAAGATTTTTGAATATTCTGTCATCTAAATCAAAAGACTTCCTTTATTCATTATTAACATCTTGAATGCAATTCCTTATACTTCCAGAAGGTATTCATAGATAGACAGAGTCCAGATTAGAAGAAGCAATGGTTCTTCTGTATCCTCTGGTCAGAACATAGCATAATCTATGCAGTTCCTATTAACTAGAAATTTAAAACTTCTTTTGCCTGTGCTATAATTTTTATTAGGATTTTTAGTCTTCTGACTACCCAGCTGTGTCCGTACTGAGTAGTCTGTCTCTAATTTCATATTTTCCCCACAAGATGTGTTATAGTTTAGGTTTCTTCAAAATCAGGTGTTCTGGAGCATATACATTATATTATAGTAGAAACAACTATACTATTCTTTAAACATTTTCTAACTTAATATAGCCAAACTAAAGAGGCTCCAAATAAAGGTGATTAAAATCAATAAAATTAATTTAGGATGGTCAATCCCATGATATCTGATCTGTTCTTCAAGAGAGACATGTTACTGCCCTTCAGAATGACGGGAGCGCCTTGCAAGGATCTGCTCAAACAGCCCGATTGTAAAGCTTAGGTTTGGATTAAAAAACAATAAAGTAATAAAGAACTCCCTGAATGAACAAACAGTGAACAACAAGCATGATCTAACAATGGAGAGTTGTCTCCTGTCACTGGAGACACTCAAACAGAGCGGGACTATCTCTCAAGAATCTAGAGAAAGAAGGACTTCTTGTACTGGAGAGGTCAGGGCAGACACTCCCCACTCCCTTCCAAATTAGGACTGATGAGAGTTGTGGAACTGCGCCAGTCCTTAAGCCCTCGTCTGCCAGCTCGGCACCCGGAGGGGCTGACGACCTGCTGCAGCACAGAAAACACTGATGGGGAGTCCCGAGACTTGTCCGCTGTGGGGTCATGGGGAAATCATTTACCCTTTCCACATCTATGTTTCTGCAGTTAGACATGAGGGACCCCAACCTACCTCTCCAGCCCTAACCTGTCTGTCTTGGAGGATGGTTGTGAAAATCAAACTAGGTAATACCTGTGAAAGCAATTTTTAAATGAGAAAATGCCATATTTAATATAAGCTATTCTTAATAAATCCCTTTACAGCTTTATAATGTAATCAGGAATTAGATTAAGACACATAAAGATAAGTAACAGTAGAAATTTTTGATTAAGTATCAAAAGACCCACCATACAGGAGTTGCTGTAGGAATTCTCAATTATTTGAAAACAAGACTTTTAAAAAATATTAGATTAAAAATACAGACATAACAGCAGTTTATCTCTAGAAATTTTAAGATGCTTTGCGCTTTAAAGCTTAAAATTATATTATGCTCTAGTTCTTGGGCTCGGTAACATGCTCAAGGAGGTTTTTAATATTATTATTATTTTTTAAGACAGAGTCTTGCTCTGTCGCCCAGCAGGCTGGTGTGCAGTGGCATGATTATAGCTCACTGCAGTATCAAATTCCTGGGTTCAAATGATCCTCCTGCCTCAGCCTCCCAAGTAGCTGAGACCACAGGCATGTACCACCAATCCTGGCTAACTTTTAAATCTTTTTGTAGAGAGAAAGTCTCGCTATATCGTCCAGCTGGTCTTGAACTCCTGGGCACAAGCAATCCTCCCACCTCAGCCTCCCAAACTGATGGGATGACAGGCATGAACCACTGCACCTGATTTAATATTGTCTTATATGATATAAAGATTATATATTTATATAATTTATAAAATAATCTTTATAAAGCATTTATATATAAAGCCTTTCTATATATAAACCCTTATATAATCTATAAAAAATTTATAAAAGAATCCCTATTTTTAAAATAAATTTCAAATATTATCTAAGAAGATAATGAAGCAATAGCCACACTAAATGTCTTTAAATTGCCACAGAGTCCAAATTGTATCTAAAATGATTGACAGAATGCACATCATGGTCATTAAATTTTCATAAGCCTTAGTAATTAATTAAATCATCACTCATTCCTGACTTCAAGCTCTAAGAGGGTAGAGAGTTTTCTATGTGTCTTTCAGGGATATATCTCTAGTGTCTAAAGTGGTGCCTGGCACATAATAAGTATTTAAAAAAATATTTCTTCAGTGAATGAATGAATAATCACTGAGTCTAACTGATGGTGACTTGCTCGGGTTAGAATGTGTGGGTGTATGTTTGCATAACATTCATTCAATCAACTGAACAAATGTTTACTGAGCATCTACTATAGCCCCGGTAATAAGGCTTGAGCTACATCAGTGACCAAAACAAAGAGCTCTGACCTCATTCTGTATACATGTGAGTAGGAGACCATGAACAAGAGACAATTTTGTGAGGTGTTAGATGATAAGCACCACAAGAAAAAGCAGCAGAGCAAGATTAGGAGATCAGGAGCATTACAGGAGAAGTACTAGGGAGCAGCATGCACTTCACTGAGAAGGTGACACTTCGGCCAAGACTGGAGGCATGTGAGGAAGTCAACATGTGGGCATCGGGGCAGGAGTTCCCGGCTGAGAGGATGGCTTGTCCAAAGGCCTTCAGGTGAAGCTCATCCAGTCAGAGCGGGTAGGTGACAGCAGATCTGGGAGACGTTGCCATGGAGAGAATGGGAGAGGGCCTGGCAGGCTACTGTAAGGACTTCGGCTTTTACTCTGAGGGAAGTGGGCAGCACGGCGTTTTTGCAGAGGACTGACACGATCGAACTGGCTTGAAAAGGACTCCTCTGTGTTGTGAATAGACTGCTGGAGAGCTGGGCGAGCAGACGCGGAGGCTGTGGTGGTCCTGTAGGCAAGAGATGGGGTAAACTGCACCAGGTGGTAGCTTGGAGCGAGTGGAGAGCAGCAGTGGTGGGAATATTTTGAAGGAGGAGCCAAGGGGACTTCCTGATGACCTGACTATGAGGTATCAGAGAAAGAGAGCTCGGGGCTGACTCCAAGGCTTTTTGGTCTAAGCAACTAAAACAATGAGTTACCTGCACCTGGGATGGGAAGACTGGGTGGAGGCAGAGGGATGATACTCGGTTATGGACACAGTGATTTAGGAGATCCCCAAGTGGTGACACGGAGAAGAAAGATGAACATAGAGGCTGGAGGTCAGAAGGAAGGTCTGGGTTGGGGATGGGCATATGGGAGTTCGTGGCAGACGGACGGGACGCCCAAGGGGGTGAGGGAAGACGGAGAAGAAGAGGAGGTGAAGGAGGTCCCTGTCCAGAAACGTGACGCTGGCGTGGACTGGAGACTTTGTATGATGAAGCTAAGGTTTCGTTATCATCAAATAACTTAGAAGCAGAGAAGCACGGAAACTAGTAATAAAACAGTGACAGAAATTAATTAAACACATTCTGACCCTAGAAAAACAATAACTTAAGTTACAAATTCAAATTCTTAGAAAAAGCACTTTCTGAACGTAAAGAATTTGGGGGAATAGCAATATTCCTGCCTGCTGTCAGATAAGTAACAAGTTTTCCCTGTTAACATCAGTTGCATTAGTATACTGCAATTAGTACAACACACTGAGTAGATCCAGCAATTATCAATCTGTTTGAATAAAGATGGAACCTCGGTAATCTTCAGAGTGGATAATCAGAACTTAAACATTAAAAATTTTTTAACAATATGCTTCAAAATATTTTATGAAATTTTCTAATCTGATAAGCATAACTATTTCCATAGCATATGTGTGGTAACAAGTAAAAAACAACAACAACCAGGTGACTCAAAAAGAATCACTTCACAAGTAAGTGGTAGAGCTGAAATTTTAATTTCAAGTCCTGTATTACTAGCTCCTCATCCAATGATCAAGACCACATATCTTAGTTTTAGTCAGAATCGTTAAGTACTCGTTAACTGAGGATGAAAGCCTGGTGTCTCCTTACCCAAAGAAGCAATGGCAAACATTCGATAGAAATCCCACTCCTTAGCATATCTGATCAAGTCGTCAGGGTCAGTGTTCTGGTTGGAATCTTGAAGCTGCCACCACCTCAGATACGCTTCACAAAGCAAACAAAATATGCAGAGTTTTCCATGGATCTGACAAAGACATCACCATTCAATTAGACAAAGAAACACTTAGTTGCACCTTATATCACCAGGCACAGAGGTGACTGAGTATTTGTGGTTTTGAAGAACATGCTTCAAAAGCAAGACCCACCAAGTTGCTCCTCAGACTCACAGCTGCATTAATTCTGCAATTCAGCAGTGTCTACCGGAGTCACATTAGGAGATTTTTCAAAATACAAATGTCTAGACCCCAGTCCTGCTAGGCATCTGTGCTTTGAAAGTTTCCAGGGGGATTTTAGTGTGCACCCCTAGTTAAGAATCACCCTTTAAATAGTTCACCTTCCATTATGTATTTTTGACATCTGTCCTATACACAGAATCAAGCAAAGAATTTACTCATGTATAGGTGGAAACAGCAATAAGAGATTTAACCTGAAGATTCCATGATACGGAATAAGAAATTATAGTCTGAACAAGAATTCTAAAAAATGCCTCAGGGCTGTATGAGTATAGCTCAGTATGTTAAAAGAAAGCAACTAAAAGCTGGAAGTTCTTAAGAGTCTGGCATTTTGGCTAAGACAGAAGATACCAGGCAATAAGAACTGGCTTTCTTCTGTTTCTCCTACAGGCTGAACTTTCCCCATCAATGTGAAGTGAGGGAGAGGCAGCTTGAGTGTAAACCCAGCGTGTGCCAGAGTCCAGTCTCTGCTGCCCAGGCTCCTTCAGCTGGCAGGCTGGCTCCCCAGTGCAGCTGGGATCACCTGAGGAGGCTTAAACACTGCTGATGCCTGGATCCCATGCCCAAAGATTCTGATTCAATTGGCTCTAGGGAGACCTGCTTGGGGGGTTTAACACCCTTCTACTAGGTGATTTTAATGTGTAGCCAAGTGTGAGGATCCATGCTCTGGTAATTTAAAAACCACCCTGGTGACTTAACTTTGGGGACGAGGCAGGGATAAATAACTGCACTGTTACTGCCGAAGTTAGCCTAAACTTAGCATTGCCAGATTTAGCAAACAGGACGCCCAGTTAAATTCACATTTCAGACACCATGAATACATTTTTTGGTGTAAGTATGTTCCATGCAATATTTGGAACAACCAAAAAATGGATTCATTGTGTATTTGAAACTCAAATTTAACTGGTTGTCCTGTATTTTAGATGTCAACTCTACCCAAACTATTAAAGAGTCCACAATTCAATACACTAAAAGTATGTTTTGAAAAATCCAACTTTATAAATCAGGACTTTTTTGATTAAACCCAATGTTATCATTTACTTTACACATTCCTTTAACAGCAGAATGTAAAATGCAATAAATTGTGTTTTTAAAATGTCCTTCTTTTCATGTTTGCCTACTTCTTTTAGGTATAATTATTTTCCTATCTGGATATGTTTAATTTTATTCTGTTCAAAATCAGTAATGTCTGTTTCAACCTACTAAAAAGCAATCCAGATTAAGGATTGTTTCCTGCCAGTGACCACTTTCTTAAACATTCACTAAGTAGTGTGTACTTTTAAAAATAAACACCTGTTATTTCTAGGAACTTCCAGATGTTGAGATAAAAAATGCATCCTCAAGTTAGAATCTTTCCTTCTTATATTTTAAAATTCTGTTCAAAATTTTTATTATTCTTTTAAAATACAACAGCATCATCAAGTAGAATTTAAAAAAAAATCACAACTTACATTTATCTCAGTATTGAAAATAATATGTCTGTAAGCCTGGGCTTTGCACAAAATAGCATTAATCAAGATGATAACAGGATCATACTCAATATATTTGTCTACAGGTTTCTGGCAGGATTTCTGAAATAATACAAGATAATATTAGAACAAGCAAATTCATACATTCTCAAATCCTAGAGGATTTCAAAACACCAGGGTCTATTTGGACATATATAGCAACAAGGCCATATCAGCATTTATTTAAATAAACTTCCATTCAGATACAAAATGTTTATCTATATAAGAAGTGGTTTTAGAAACAACTAGGTGGGGATAGGATTGGCAGTAATGGGATTCTGCCGGGGGAGGGGAGGCATACCTCATCAACAAGGGTACCCGCATAACAAACGTTTGTATACTTAACCCTGAGTTGTACTTTGAATTGTACATGTTTAAAATGAAAAATTTAAATAAAAAGAAACAACTAGATATGGGATAGGCGAGGTGCCTCGCGCCTGTAATTCCAGCACCTTGGGAGGCCGAGGCAGGTGGATTGCTTGAGTCCAGAGGATCACGACCAGCCTGGGCAACACAGTGAAGCCTCACCACTACAAAAAATTCAAACATTAGCCAGTCAGGGTGGCATGCAGCTGTAGTCCCAACTACTTGGGATGCTGAGGTTGGAGGGATCTCCTGAGCACAGGAGGCTGAGGCTGCTGTGAGCCATGATCATCGTGATCTTGCCACTGCATTCCAGCCTGTGCCACAGAGTGAGACTGACTCAAAACAACAACAACAAAACTAAATACAATCTTCTAGGCTAAAAATATGAATATTTTAGCCTCATATTCACGAAGCTAAAAAGATACTTGTTTTAAAGACGGACTTTAGGCAGGAAAGTATCCGAAAAGAGTCAACTTTCAATCTGTAGGGATTCTATCTTCAATCTACTTTTAAAGTGTAGGAATTATTATAAAATAAATAAACTTAAATTACTTTCACTGATAAACTGTTGCCTGTTGGCTAGATGGCCCCCAACTTTGTAGTTCTTGAAGCATGATTTACAGAAAAGTGTTCAGCTAAGTAACCCTGCCCCCAGAGCTACCAGGAGCCTACCAGTGGGTACACGGGGCTTGGTGCCAACCATTCTCAGGAGACAGATGGCAGGGGAAGCCTGAGTTTCCCCAGTAACATTAAGAATATGGAAAGAAAATGGTCTTTCCCTGCTATAACAGACACAGCGGACAGCGCTGGGCTGTGTGTAGAGAACTGTGCTGTATAGCCTGGCTCTAGGATCCAAAATCAGGGCTCCCCCAGTCTCAGCAGTTTCTGCCAAATGGCTTTTCTCCCCTGAAAGGTCATCAATTTAGAGACGGGTTCTCTAGACACAAGTGATTACAATGTCATCAAATTCCAGCACCATTAGAAGTGTAAAATGCAAGTGTACAAGTAGAAGCTCATTAGAAATGTGACAACTGAAGTCATATTAATTACAAAGTTGTATCGATTCACTTCATAAAACAGGATTCTCCCCTTATCTGCAGTTTGTTACCAGTGGTCGACAGAGGTCTGAAAATATTAAGTGGAAAATTACAGAAATATACAATTTATTTGTTTATTACAAATAAGCACTCTGTTTTAAACTGCACACTGCTCGGCTCCAAGGCCAGGGATGAGTCACCCCTTTGTCTAGCACATCACCCTCCCTGTAGATGCTCCCCACCTGGCAGCCATTTAGGTTATCAGACTGACTGTCATATGTTCTCCAGTCACCCTTATGTGACTCAAGAATGGTCCCAAAGCACAAGAGGAGTGGTACTGGCAATTCAGATATGCTAAAGAGAGGCTACAAAGCACTTTGAGTGAAAAAATGAAAGTTCTCAACGTAATAAGAAAAGTCATGCCAAGGTTGCTAAGATCCACATTAAAAACAAATCTATCTGTGAAACTGTGAAAAAGAAAAAAGAAATTTGTGCTTTGCTGCCACACCTTAAACTGCAAAAGTTAAGGCCCCACTGTGGGATAAGTGCTTAGTTAAGACGAAAGAGGCATTACATTTGTGGGTGGAAGATGTGGACAGAAATGCGTTCGGACTTACGGAATGGGGTTTAGTACTATCTGCCACTGCAGGCACTGGGGGTCTTGGACTGCATCCCCCACAGGAAAGGAGGACTACTGGATTGGCTACATTTCCAACAAAACATTTTGAAACTCTGAGGGGACAAAACAGAAATAGGAGAAGTAATGGCTATAAAAACAAACTAGGATGGCTGGCCCTTTAGTTACATTAAAGTGCTAGAAGAATAAAGTGTATTGAATGATATTAACCCTGAACTTCTTATGTAATAAAAAACTGGATTTGCTTCCAATTTAAAGTTTCCCTACTTTATGTCATTATAAGAAACAGGTATGTTTTTCGAGTCATCAAGCAAACCAATGAAGGGACACGTGCTGCTACCTCAAATTTAAATCCACTTAATCGAACAGAGACAAAGGGAGTTAATATTTTTGCAGTTCTTTACCTGAGCAGAGAGTAGGCCAGAATCTAAATAGAACTCTCAGAATCAGAAATTCTATATTCATGGCAAAAGAGCTGTCTTATTCCTGTGCTACTCACATGAGCACACTTCCTCCTGTATATACACAAGACTAGAGGACCAGAGATGCTACTTCATTTTAAAATGAAAGCTCGGAGAGGTCAGATATCCTCTCTCTGTCTTTTAGAAGTTCTCTAAAACCCATCTTCAGAGAGCACCACAAGTCTGGGGATTCAGACAGTTTGGGGAAAGAGGTAGGTAGAAACCAGCACCCAGAGCCACAGCATCTGTTATTTCTTTTGCATTCATTTGTTTGACAAATGTTTTTGGAATGGCTATTACATTCTTAACAACAGCTGTCTTTTCTGGCCATTTGATGAACCAGGCACTTACAAGGTGCTACATATTAGTCTTTGGCTGAAAGTCTCTTTCCTCAAGGACCTTCCAGCTTAGAGGTGGAAGACAAAGGTGCCACCTCGCCCACAGGCCATCAGACGATGTAGCATCCCAGTGCTTGGATGGGATGAGCACAGGGTGTAAGAGAAGAGGGAGCTTCTGGCAACATGTGATACACTATGTGCTTTGTGTTTTATGAGCACTGAGATTTCACCAAAGTCTGCTGATTCCTTCCCAGTTACTTGAGACCTGAGTTTTTCTCATTCTCCCTCTATCATTTGATCTGTCCTTAAGTGCCGTTCTCAACGTCCCTTCCCCCTGCCTTCACCTCGAACGTGAGAAGGAATACCATGCACACACACTCACACGCACTCACACACTCACACACACGCACACAAATGTAGACGTCCCCAAACATATTGCGAGAAGTTATATTTACCGAATTTAGTAACTGTGTCTTCTCAGTCTGGCCACATTGTTTCATTCGAGACCATCGACTACTTTGTAGACAAGCACCCTGACAAGAGGTTTCTGCCAAGAATCCCCCGCAGCACACGGGTGGCGCTCGGGGAATTCACACCCCGTTCCCGCCGCCTCGGTCTGAGGGCGGATGTGCCTCGCCTGGCCCACGTGCTCCCCACCTCCCCAGCGAGGCTCGTTTCTTTTGGGATGGGAACGGGCCAGACGGGGAGTGCTTGGCGCTGCCGGCTGCTCACTCCCCTCGGCCATCTCCAGGGCATCCGTCTCCCCGCCTGTGCTCGCGCGCTCCGCCCCGGCAGCCCCACGGCAGCCCCAGGGCAGCCCCAGGGCGAGCAAGCGCGCGTCGCGAGGGCGGAGCCCTCGGCACCCCAAGGTGGGAGCGAAGGCTGCGGGCCGAGGGGACCAGCGCTCGCGAGGGCCTCGACGGAGGCTTCTCTGGCGACCGCAACAACGAGCGCGGCAAAGAGCCGAACACGTGAGCCAGGCGCTACAGGACACAAAAGGGTCACGTCTTGGAGCACAGTGCTAATCAGCTGCGACAGCTGAAGCGGCGGGAGGGGCTGGGGCTGGGGCAAGGAACGGCCGTGTTCGAGGGAGGCCAGGGAGAGAAACACAGACGGGCAAGCGGGGAGTGGCAGCGGAAAAGCACAGAGAGCCAAGGCAAAGGTGAAAAATGCAGGCGGGGGGTCGGCTGAGCATCTTGCCGTCTCCCAGTCTGGGAGGGAAAAGACCCAAGTGTGTAACCACTTAGAAACTTTGATATCATTTCACAACAAATTGCCTGATGCAAAACCTTTTTACTTTTCATATCTCAGAAGTTGAAAAACTTAAAAAATGAAGAGCTTTATGGTTTACTTTCTCAGAGCCTAGCATCAAATAAATGGTTTTTCCTGAGTGATGCTATCATGGCCTAAAGTTTACTGTGTATTAGCATGATTAAAAGTGAGGCAATTTCATGCTCTATCTCATTATGGAATGGCTGTATACGATAATAAATTCATAATGCATGGTGCCACCATTCATTATTCCAAATGCACACCTAAAATCTGTCTCAGAGACAGTACGATGTTAAGGGAAAAAAGGGAAAGGGAGAAGTAACTGATCACCCAAATAGCTATCCAACAATTATTTTGTCTTTCTATTTAAAAAAGTATCAAGAAGCAAGCATCTGATGATTATGAAAGGGATTTTGTTGTTAGCTTATTGCCAGTAAAAAAAGATTGTTTTATATTATTAATGATTACCAACTAAAGTGCATATACAAATATTAGCTTTTCTTTGGACAAAATACCATACAAGTATGTGGTTATCATCTTCCAGGGGGATCATTTAATTGGATGAGTCCAAAAGTTACAAAGCTTAGACTACATGTAAGATCTTGTCCTCTTTCTTGTACCAGGATGTCCAAGCATGCACTCATGTAAAAACCTGGAAATGACTCATGCATTCAACAAATATATACTTAGTACCTACTATGTGACAGGCACTGTTCTGGGTGATCCAGCTACATAAATGAATAAAATAGATTCTTTTTGTGTAGCTTACATTCCAGTAGGAGAAGACAGTTAATATTAAGTCAATTACGTAAAATATTACAAGGTGATAAGGTGCCATGGAGAAAGATAAAGCTGGAAGGGTATCATAATTTTTAATAGAGTGGTCAGAGTGGACCTTTTTGATAAGATGTTTGAAAAAGCACTTGAAGGAGGTAAGGGAACTAGCCATGCAGACACCTGAGAGACGGGAGTGTTCCAGGCAGAGTGCAAAGGCCCTGAGGAAGGAACCTACCTGGGTTGAGAGACACCAGGAGGCCAGTGGGACGGCAGTGGAATGAGGGAGGGAGCGCACATCAGACTGCACAGGGTCTTATAAACTAGCACAAGAATTCTGGCCTTAACTCTGAGTGAGATGGAAAATCACTGGAAGCTTCTGACCCAAGGAATGACAAGAACTAACGTACACTTTTGAAGGCTCGGTCTCTGGCTGCGCTGGAAGAGACTGAAGAGGTCCACGGGCAACATAGGGAGACCAGACAGGAGGTGTAACAACAGGCCAGGTGGGATATGATGGGGCTTGAACCAGGGCTGCAGCAGGAGTAACAGTGAGAAGTAGTTGTTTCTGAACATAATCTGAAGACAGAGCTAACAGGATCTGCTGGGCAACTGAATACAAAATGTCAGAGGAAGAGAGGAATCAGGGATGACTACAAGACTTTTTGGTCTTAGGAACTAAAATGGTAGAGTTGTCGCTAAATTGTCATGGTAGAGTTTGAGGTGGCTACTGAAAGCCAAGTGGAGAAGTTCAGGCTGGAGATAAAAATTCAGGAATTGTCAAAATTTAGATGGTATTTAAAACCATGAGACAGAATGAGCTCTTCAAGGGAGAGAATGCAGACAGAAAGAGGTCCAATGACTGAGCCTTAGAGTACACCATGGCTAAGAGGTAAGAAAGGACAGGTGCAGTGGCTCAAGCCTGTAATCCCAGCACTTTGGGAGGCGGAGGTGAGAGGACTGTCTGAGTCCAGGGATTCAAGACCAGCCTGGGTAACTTGGTGAGACCTTATCTCTACAGTAAATTTTTAAAAATTAGCCAGGTGTGGTGGCACGCACCTGTGGTTTCAGCTACTTAGAAGGCTGAGGCAGAAGGATCACCTGAAGTCCAGCAAGTCAAGGCTGCAGTGGTTGTAAGTGTGCCACTGCACTCCAGCCTGGGCGACAGAATGAGACTCCAACTCAAAAAAAAAAAAGAAAAAAAAAAGGTAAGAAAGATGAGGCAAAACCAGAAAAGAGGTTGAGGTGAAACAGCCAGTAAGAAGATGACAAGAAGAGCCCTGAGTCCTGGCAAGTGCACAAAGTGTTTCAAGGAGAAGATCATAATGAGGTCAAAAAGACTAGACTACTGGATTTAGCAAAGTGGAAGTCAGCGGTGATCTTAACAAAAATGGTTTCTAGTGAGAAGGTGGATGGAAGAAAGTCTGACTGAACTAGGCTCAAAAGAAACTAGGAGAAGAAATAAAGATAGCAAGTACAAACATCACTTAAAAGAGTTCTGCTGTCTGAGGGAGGAGAAAAAGAGCAGAAGCTAAAGGTAGAAGTGGGGTCAAGAGTGTTTTGTTGTTGTTGGTTTGGGGTTTTTTTGAAGGGAGAAATGATAGTATGCATGCTAGTGGGAACAGTGCAGCAAAGAGCAGAAGAGCATTTTAAGTAAAAGAAAGGGTGTAAGATCTGGTGTACAAGTGGAGGCACTGGCTTTATGCGGGTATATCAAGGCTTCAACCATAACAACAGGAGGAATGACAGAGTATAATATGTCCATAACAATGCTAGGATGGGTTTATGTGGTTGCAAAGCTTGTGGAAGCGTTCCGTTTTCTTAGAAAAACAGGGAGAATATAGAGGAAGCTCGAAGAGAGAAAGGGCATGCGATGACTGTCCCGAAGAATGGGAATGAGAGTGGACTAGGGACATACATACAACAGGATGGCCAGGCAGCATGAAAGGCCTATATGAAGTTAATGGTCATGAATTTAAGACGTTCCCCCCCCCAAGAACGTACAGCTGCACGGGTGTAGGGAAAGACCAGGCAGTATGTTGGATTTAACAAGGGTTCACATTTTGCCAAGTGAGGGAAGCATTGAGTGGAACAGGACGTTAAGAGTGAATACACCAGAGTGTTCAATGTTCGACAACAGGCCATATAGGTACATACAATTTGTCTACGCTCCTGCATATTATTACAGACCATATTTTACGAAAGAGAACTATTCCTGGAAAATCATCGGGAGATCAGAAACGGGACGACAATGTACCGACTGCCTACCCTGTGACAGCTCCTTCGCTACGCCGCCCGACAGCCACAGTGAAGCAGCTTCGGCGCGAACCCACGTGTCAATTCCTCCGCACCACGCGCACATCCACTTCCGCCCGACGGTCTGTTCGCCAGGTGGGCCTCGGCTCCCAAACACGCACCCGTACCAAAAAAAGCGCAGCAGAGAGTTCTCTACGAGGGCAGGTCTTCATGCCAGACCCCGAGCGGGACGGCAGGGCCAAGGACCGTCTGAAAGGGCCCTGCCTCTCACGGCGGCCAAATCCCGCGCGACCTTGTCTTCCCAAGGACACCCCACACCGGACAACTTACGCAGATGGTGATCTTCAGCACCCCGTGGTTATAGTCTCGGTACAACTCCTTGGCCTCCCGGTTGCACTCGATGCACCTGTACTGGCAGGAAGCCGGGGCGGCAGTGGGGGTCACCGCCACCCGGTCCGCATGCCCCTTCCCCGGCCACGGCCCGCTCCACCGGCCGCTGCCCATCTCCAGCCAGCTGCGACGCCAGTTTCCCATCCCGGGGCGGCGGGAGACGTCAGACGCCAGACCGGAAGACCGGCGCCGCGCGGGGCTTGCTGGGAGTCGTAGTCCCAGCACGGGAAGCGGGGCCCGAGGCTGGCCACGCCGGAACGACAGCTCCCAAGAGGCATTGCTTCCCCCGCCCCGCCCCCTCGCCACGGCCCACCTGTCCGCCTGGGCTGGAGGCGGGGAGGCCGAGAGCCGGGCGCGGGCTGCCGCACATGCGCCCTGAGG